ATTCCATTCCATATTCTATTCCATTCTACTCTATTCCATTCCATATTCTATTCCATTCCATTCTACTCTACGCTATTCCATATTCTATTCTATTCTATTCCATTCTTCTCTATTCTATATTCTATTCCATTCCATATTCTATTCCATTCTACTCTATTCCATTCCATATTCTATTCTATATTCTATTCTATTCCATTCTACTCTATTCCATTCCATATTCTATTCTATTCCATTCTATATTCTATTCCATTCCATATTCTATTCCATTCTACTCTATTCCATTCCATATTCTATTCTATATTCTATTCCATTCCATTCTACTCTATTCCATTCCATATTCTATTCCATTCTACTCTACTCCATATTCTATTCTATTCCATTCTACTCTACTCCATTCCATATTCTATTCCATTCTACTCTACTCTATTCCATATTCTAGTCTATTCTATTCCATTCCATATTCTATTCCATTCCATTCCATCTTTTGAGGCATTCAACACAATATCTGTGTAGGCTTGTGATAAAAGTTTTGGCTTTTTAAAGGATTAAGGAAAACCGTTTGGCAATCGAAAGGGTGCAAACTGTTCACATCCCTGCGTGCACTATGTTCTGAAGTGAACTGAACTGAAGAAGCTTCTTGGATGAGAAGTAAAATGTTTTTTAAGGAGAACCCTCCCCCCCCCCCAAAAAAAAGCCCAGTTGCCTTTTGGAAAAGCACCTCGTGACAATTATGACCTGGATGATTCAGGATCCCCATAGGCATCAAGAAACAGAGGTTTTATTCCATTTATGGAAGAATGCAATTTGGGTCACACTGAATATATGGATCTTTCGTTTATAGATGGCACTAACAGACAGGGAGAGGAAAATCACCACTTAGCAGAAGGATCAACAGGTCTATGGAGATTCTCAATCATCCAGGTCATAGTTGTCACAAGGTCGTTTTCCAAAAGGCAACTGGACTTTCTCGGTTTCTTTCCTTGAAAATGTTTTGCTTCTCACCCAAGGAGCTTCTTCTGTTCAGTTCACTTCTTCGCTTCAGAACTGAAGAAGCATTTTAGATGAGAAGCTCAACATTTTCAAGGAAAAGAACCAAGAAAGTCCAGTTGCCCTTTGGCAAACCATCTTTGGGACCCAAAGATGCTGTGGACTCCCCAAATTAAATAAAGTGGGATGGGCAGCTGTTTAAAAAACAAAACAAAAAACCAACTGGCCAGAAATTTGAAAGCTCTCCAAGCCTCGCTTAGTTTCAAGCATTCAGGCAAGATGTCTCCTAAGCTGGGTTCAAGGACATTTGGGCACAGCTCACCTGTTTCAGTGTCGATTTCATTGAGGGCTGCATCAGAGTTGTGTTTGACCTAGGGGGAGCTGGGAGGGCATGGCCATCTTGATGTTACTTGGCCCACCCGGGCTCCATTTTCGGCTGTGACAGCCTCCTGCAACCCTCTGCCAACGAAAACAGAGCCTAGGGAAGGTCGCGCTTGGGATGCCTGGGCTCAGTTTTTGGCCACAATGTCCTCCTGCAGTACTCTGCCAGCAAAAATGGAACTGGTGTGCATGTGTGTGTGTGTGTGTTTGATCCCCTGGAGGTCTGTTTTCGCTGGTAGAGGGCCTCAGGTGGCTGTCGCAGATGACAATGGAGCCTCTGATGGCTGTGCACAGCCCTACTGAGCTCCATTTTTGGTGTCAGAGGAACTGCGGGCTGGTCCTTCACTGTTTCCAGGGCGGCTCTGCGGGCCAAATTTAAGTACTTGGTGGGCTGCATCCTTGAGTTTGACACCTTGAATTTTAGGTGGCTTCAAAAAAAGAAATGGACAGGAAGACGAAAGTGCACAACGATATCTGCAATCTGAAACAGCTGCACCTTATCTGGATAGTGCCGATTGGCCCTTTGAACTCAGAAAGTCCCTGAGCCAAACTCCCGGCCATCCTTAGGAGCCACTCACCGACCCAGAGGTAGAGGATGCGGCGCTGCTAACCACGGCAGGTTTCAGGGAAGTGGTCAGCAGCTTGGCCACTCCTTGCGTCCCTCCACTGGAGCTGACGTTAGGACCTCCCGGCGGAGCCACCAAAGTCAGCTTCTGAGGGACGAGGGTCTTCTTCACCATGGAACTGGGCGAGGAGCGGCTGGGAGCCTGCCCAGAAGGGACAGAGGCGCCTGGCAGGATGCCGCTCGACGGGGAGCTCTGAGTTGAGGAAATGCCGGACGAGACGTTCCCGGCAGAAGCCACGTGCCTGGACAGGGCCACAAAGGGCGACTTAAACGGTGGCCCCGAGGAGCTGGGGCTGCTGGGGTGCTTCCCGACGTAGCTCAGAGACACTGAAGAATTGGGGGTCTTGGGAGAGATGGTGGAGGAGGAGGAGGAGGCAACGGCGGAAGGAGAGGAGGAAGAATGGAAGGTGGGAACCTTGGCGGGGGTCTTGACTTGTTGCTGGAGGAGAGGGTGCTGAGCCAGTGGGGAGATGATCTTGGGGTTCTGCAGCTTGACAAAGGGGAAGGAGGAAAGCTCTTCAGCTGCTGAGCAACCAGAGAGAACACTTTGACTTGGGGGGTCGGCACCGGGGTTGAGGTCTGAGGACATTGCTGCAGTGCCCGGGGCAGGCTGTGGTGTTTCGGCTTGGCCTGGTGGGCATCCAGATGCTTGGAAGGAGGACTCTGGCAAGGGAGTTCTTTGTAAGGAGGGGCCTCGATTTTTTTCTCTGGAGGAGATTGACCCCGCGCCAATGCCTGTTCCGCCAAGAA